TATATATATCAGTATAGAAATTATACATATTCATGACAAAATTTCAAATGGTAAAAAAGGGTTCGTTGTTGTTAAGTTTCGTGGAGTTGGTTCCGACTTGTATAGAGGTTCTGAGGAGCAGCTGTTAAGCCTCAATCGCTGAACTTGTGGCTCAAACCAACCATTACAGAAATTATACATGTTCATGGTAAACATTTCAAATGGTAAATAAGGGGGAGAAAGTAAAATGTAAAAGCCTCTGAACTGCCTTTTCATTCTCCAGAGAAAATATTGTTTTTTCTTTTTAGAAAATTAATTTCTTTTAATGCTTTCAGAAATTTTCTGGAAACATCATATGGGCTCATGTCTTGTGTGTGTATGTAGGGGTGTATACACATATAAATTGTGGTCATTATGTACTATGTGCTATCAAACCAGATCTGCCTCAAAGTGACCCTAGGCACAACAGAACAAAACACTGTCCCAGCCTGCACCATCCTGATGTTATGTTACAGGAAGTGCCAACTGCATCTCCATCCTTCAAGAGAGGGGTCTTGCCTTGTACTGATTAGGAATAGTATTCCATACCCGCAAAACTTTATTACAGGAAACAGACTTGCAAGTGGAGATGGAAAGGGCTTAACCTCCATCTCCCCAACAAGGGCTTTGCTGGGATTTAAAAGGTTTGGGGTAGAGAAAAGATATGTTTATTCATAATGACAGGTGAGGATTTCCAGGAAATAGCCCATTTAGGAGGGGGCATGTTAATTGGGTACACAGCATTTCTTATGGGATTTTACCCACAAAGGTCTCTGGCAGGAGCAGATAGACCTTATTCGGGGATGTCAAATGTGTGTGGTTCTTCAGGACTCTTAATTTAGACTCCTCCCAAGGGATAGCATTCTCCTCTGCCCCAATAGGTTTGTCCCTTAAAGTTATGTCTAGGCAAACCAGTCTGACCTGTAAAATATTTCATAAGGAAGTAAAAACTCAGAATTTTTATGGGTGGTCTTTCTCTATGGCGTATCCCAGGATGTGGATGCTTAACTATGACCCTGGGCATGTCTTGCATATCTTTACAATTGCCCAAGAAGGAGGTGAGTAGGCCTCAACATTCCTCAGGCTTGGATTACAGGACTTAAATTAAACCCATGTTTAATTCTGGACCCTCTTTTCCCCTTGTCTCACTCATAATCATTGTCATGTTTGAGCCCAGAGTTGTAGCCACTGTGTCAATTCATCTTCTTTTTTATGAGTCCTCTACTTTACCAAGCATGATGTCCTTCCCCATGATAACACGTCCAAAGTATTTATGTGAGGCAAAATCTCAACATCTTCATTTCTAAGAAGCATTCTGGCTGTACTTCTTCCAGGATAGATTGTTCTTCTGGAAGTCCACATACTTTCAATATTCTTAGCCAACAACATAACTCGAATTCATCAATTCTTCTCCAGTCTTCCTTATTCCTTATCTACTTTTCACATGCATATAAGATAACTGAAAATACCATGATTTGGGTCAGGCACACCTTTAAAGTTATATCTTTGCTCTTGAACACTTTAAAGAGGTCTCATAGAGCAGATTTGCCAATTGCATTATGTTGTTTGATTTCTTGACTGCTGCTTCCATGTAAATTGATTGCAGATCCAAGCAAAATAAAATCCTTGACAACTTCAATCTTTTCTCCATTTGTCATGATGCTGTTTATTGGTCCAGTTGTGAGGATTTTTGTTTTTGTTCCATTAAATTAGAATCCATATTGAAGGCTGTATGGCTTGCTTTTCATCAATAAAGGCTTCAAGTTATCTTGGCTTCCAACAAGGTTGTGTCATTTGCATATCGTAGGTTAATTAAGGTCTTTTTCTCTAATCCTGATACCGCATTCTTCTACATATAATCCAAATTCTCAGAGTATCTGCTCAGCATACAGACTGAATAAGCATGGTGAAAGGAAACAGCCCTGTAAATACCTTTTCTGATTTTAAACCACTCAGCATCCCTTGTTCTGTTCCAACTCTGCTTCTTGTTCTATGTATAGGTTTCGCATGAACACAGTTAAGTGTTCTGGAATTCATTCTTCACATAATATGCATAGTTTATTATGATCCAACACAATCAAATGCCTTTCCATAGTCAATAAAACATGAGTAAACATTTTTTTGGTACTCTCTGCTTTCAGTCAAGATCCATCTGACATTAACAGTGATATTCCTCGTTCCATGTTCTCTTCTAAATCCAATTTCTACAACTGTTTTTTTTTTATTATCTTCAGCAAAATTTTACTTTAATGATGTTGTCTAATAATATGTGCATTCTGTTCAGTAACCTTTCTTTGGAATGGGCACAAATATGGATCTCTTGCCAATAGTTGGCCAGGTAGCCAGCCATTTTCCAAATTTGTTGACATAGACTAGTGAGTACTTCTAGTACTGCATCAGTTTGTTGAAACATTTCCATTGGTAGTCCATCAATTCCTATAGCCTTGTGTTTTGTTTTGTTTTTTGCTAATGGCTTCAGTACAGCTTGGACTTCAATACCACTGGTTCTTGATCATGTACTACTTCCTTAAATGGCTGAACTTTGACCAATTCTTTCTAATACAATGACTGAATATTCCTTCTATCTTCTTGAGATGCTTCCTGCATCAGTCAATATTTTGCCCACTGTTGTTGTTTAGTGCCAGTGAGTTAGTTCCAACTCAAGGAAACCTTGTATAACCTTTCCGAGGCTTCAAATCTTTGCAGGAGTAGAAACTCGCATCTTTCCCCCATGGAGAAGTTGATGGGCTTGAAAAACAGACCTTGTGGTTCACAGTCCAGTGTTCATTGTATAGAATCCCTCAATACCGTAAGTTGAGGTTTGAATTTTTCTTCAGTTCTTTCCAGTTTGAGAAATCCTCGGTATGTTCTTCCCTTTTGGTTTTCTAACTCCAGGTCTTTGTACAGTTCATTATGATACCTGCCTTTGTCTTCTTGGGCTGCTCTTTGAAGTTTTCTGTTTCGTTCTTTTACGTCATCATTTCTTCTATTCACTTTAGCTATTCTACATTCAAGAACAACAGACTTTCTTCTGACATCAACTTTGGTCATAGCTTTATTTCCAGTCTTTTTAATGACTTTTTGCTTTCTTCATGTCTGATGTTCTTGATGTCATCCCACAACTCTTCTGGTCTTTGGTCTTTAGTGTTTAATGTACTAAATCTGTTCTTCAGATGATCTCTAAATTCAGGTGGGATAAATTCAAGGTCCTATATTGGCTCTCACAGACTTGTTTTAATTTTCTTCAGATTCAGCCTGAACTTGCATATAAGCAATTGATGGTCTACTCCACAGTCTGCCCCTAGCCTTATTTTGACTGGTAATACTAAGCTTCTCCATCGTCTCTTCCCACAGATGTAATCAATTTGATTTCTCTGCATTCCATCTGGTGGGGTCCATGTGTATAGTTGCTAAAAAGTGTATTTGAAATGAATTATTCATTGGTCTTCCAAAATTCTATCATGTGATCTCCAGCATCATTTCTATTACCAAGTCCATATTTTTCAATTACTGAGCCCTCCTCTTTAATAACCATGCTGCACATTCCAATCACCAGTAATTATCAATATATCTTGACTGTGTGTTGGATCAATTTCAGACTGAAGAAGTTGGTAGAAGTCTTCAATTTCTTCAGCCTCAGTTTTGGTGGTTGGTGCGTAAATCTGAATAACAATCATATTAACTGGTCTTCCATGTAGGTGTGTAGATATTATTCTGTGACAAACATCATTGTACTTCAAGATAAAGTTTGAAAGGTTCTTTTTGATTATGAATGCAATGCCATTACTCTTCAATTTGTTATTGCTGGCATAGTAAGCCATATGATTATCTGCTTCAAAATGGCCAATACCTGTCCATTTCAGTTCACTGATGCCTAGGATATTGATCTTTATGTGCTTCATTTCATTTTTTACAACTTCAGAATTTCCAAGATTCATACTTTGTACATTCCACATCCTGACTATCAGTGGATATTTGCAGTTGTTTCTTCTCATTTTGAGTCATGCCCCATCAACAAATGAAGGTCCCGAAATCATTACAGTTGACTCTATGAAGAAGCCAGCTCTTCCTCAGTCATATTTTGAGTGCTTTCCAATCTGAGGAGATTATTTTACAGCACTATTTCAGACAATGTTTTGCTGCTATTTACAAGGTTAATAGGGGCTAATAATCCCTCAGAAGTGGACCACTTAGTGTTGTGCTATAGGATAAGCACTAGACTGCTTATCCTATAGTTGCAAGGTAAGCAGTTCAAACTCACTAGCCACTCCTCAGAAACCATATAGCGAGTTACTATGAGTCTAAACCAACTCCACAGTACTTAACAACAACAATACAATTTGTTCTTAGTCTGGGAGCTCGGTTGAAACCTGTCCATCATGGGGGACCCTGCTAGTGTTTGAAACACCACATCAACATGAAAGCATCACAGCAACATGAAAGCCAGTACAATATGACAAACTGACAGACTTGTGGAGACACACACATATAGTATACAGATATGCAAGTATGTATACACACGTGTGTATATACATATAGATGTATGTATATAAGACTGTATATATGCATATTGTTGTTGTTAAGTACCGTGGAGTCAGTTCCGACTCATAGTGACCCACAGGGTTTCTGAGGCTGTAAATCTTTATGGGAGCAGAACGCCTGCCTCATCTTTCTCCCGCAGAACTGCTGGTAGTTTCAAACTGCTGACCTTCAGGTTAGCAGCCAGATTCTTAACTACCACGCTACCAGAGCTCCTTATATATGTATATGTTGTTGTTAGGTGCCATCGAGTCGGTACTGACTCATAGCGACCTTATGCACAGCAGAATGAAACACTGCCCAATCCTGGGTCAACCTCACTACTGTTGCCACGCTTGAGTCCATCAATGCTGCCACTTGGCCAATCCATCTCATCAGGGGTCTTCCTCTTTTTCTCTGACCCTCCACCTTATCAAACATGGACATTCAAAAAAATCTATTTCTGTAAAAGTTATGTTGTTGTTGTTGTTTTTATGTGCCGTGGCGTCGGTTCTGACTCATAGTGACCCTGTACAGGGTTTTCGAGGCTGTAAATCTTTACGGGAGCAGAAAGCCTCATCTTTCTCCCACAGAACAGCTGGTAGTTTCGAACTGCTGACCTTGCGGTTCGCAGCTCTATTCATAACCACTACACTACCAGAGTATGTAAGACAGTGTATATATGGAGACATGGAGTCCTGGTGGTGCTGCAGGATAAGCACTGGGCTGCTAACCATAAGGTCAGCAGTTCATACCCACTAGTCACTCCTCAGAAATCCTGAACAAGGTTGCTATGAGTTGGAACCAACTTGACAACACTTAACCAGGGTGGGGAACCTTCTTTCTGCCAAGGACCATTTGTATATTGATAACATCATTTAATATAAATTTACGCTGCTATGAAAAAAGCTCCTAGACTTCTTGAATTTCAAATCTTGCGGTTGCCTTGGCAGGCCCAGACCAAACGATTTTTCAGGTTTATACAGCTTGTGGGCTAAACGTTCCCTACCCTGATATATATAGCTACAGATATACGACTGTTCAAACACACACACACAAAGACAGTACTGTCAATGCTGTTCAACATCTTAGCTCTTTTATTTAACAACAGATTTTGAATGTTCATTAACAACTACTTAAGAGTCCTCTGGAGAGAAAAACATAATTTAAGCCATCTCTTAACAAAAGACATTTAGGGGTAATTTCAAGTTTTTTATTATTATAAACAGTGTAACAGAGGAAGGAAAAACCTATCTTTACATACTTATGTGACTATATTGGTAGGCTAGATTTCTAGCTATGGAATTGCTAAGTGCACTCAGTAGGTATCACTATTTTATAGACAAAAAGGGTGGAGAAGTAATTTGCTCAGTCACAACTTTTAGACTCTCTACAGAGAGCCAAGAAGGGCATAGATCTTAGTCTTTGGATTCCATAGTAGTTGCTATTTCCACTATAACATTTCTACTTTATATAACAAATTTTTATAACTATGTCTAGAGAACCTGATACTTAAATACCATTATTTATTCATTTTACTTAATTAGTAAAGAGGCATACTCCAAGGACTCATCAAGTAACACAGCAGAGTTCACAGAGTTTCACTCACCCGCCTAACCTCCACTTCGAACACCAGGATTGAGTCTGTTGTTGGAGACCATCCTATTACCCCTTCAGAGCCAGCAGCACAGGATGGTGGGATAACAAGCAACCTCTTCCCTCCTTTTCTCATACCCAGCATTCCATCCTCCCAGCCCTTCAGGAATCAGAAAAGGTGGAAAACTCATCAGACACAAACCTCCTTATAAGACACAGTGAAGTACAGGGTGATCAGGTTTCACTCATCCATCTTCTCAGGCTTAGATTAGATGGTAACTCTAACAGGTCAAGTTCAATTATTCTCTCCATATCAGCTACAAGATATCTAGAGTAACACTTGCAAACCTATTTATAAAAGCCAGCATATCTGTGGTTGGACAGAATATACTTATCTTAAATGATGAGAGAAAATGGGGGGAGGGGGGCAGTGAGAATGCAACAAAAGTTATCATTTATTAAGCACATTTTCCTGGGTATTGTCCTAAGTGTTTCACATATTGTGTTTACTGTATTTTACTATAAAAGCATGCTTATACTGTAGTTTGTTTGTTTTGCCAACCTCATCCCCCTCCCCAGTATTCTGTAAGCACTAATTATTTTATATGTTGTTTTTAAAAATTTACCACAGAGCTTATAAAAATACCTTGTGGAAGGGAGGACATAGTTGACAAAAAAAGGTAGAATGCATATATTATGTGCTTACTTACAGTAATGCTTAAAATAACCTCATAAAGTTGGTAGCATTATCCCCATTCTACAGATGAGAAAATTGAGGCTTGGGGCGGTTAAGCAACTAGCCCAAGAACATACAGTTAGCAAGTTATGCCAAGATGCATACCAGACCTGGCTAGCTTCAAGGTCCATGACCTTTACTGCTATGATTTACAGGAAAGTCTCCAAAAAATTCTAGGTAAAGAAGTCATAATGATATGAAGAAAACTGTTCTGCCCTAATTAGTATTGACTTGATACAATGTTACCCCCCATGTGTAAAATACTTCTTATTTTATAAAATCCCTATACAACTGGTAATGAAAAAGAAAGGTTAGGACTAAAGTAATGTATGCATTTTTAAAATAGGTAAAAATCCCCCAAATGCAGATAATGTACCACATTTCCCCCCTCCTACTTTTCAACCAAGACTCTCTAGACTCAGAGGCTATATCCAGGTTTGAAAATTCATAAAATTTTATCTACTGTAACTTCAAGAGTTATATAAGAACACAGTTAAACCCTTACCTTGATGACTTTTCCTGATCCTAATTTCAGACGAAGCAGCTTGTCTTTGTTAGCAGTGGAGTCAAAAACCTGCAATTTCATCAGTAAAAGAAGAATCATGATAGGCACTACAGAATAAGCATTAGACTGCAAGGTCACTTTGAACAGCAAGGTCAGGTCAGGGTTCAAATTCATCAGCCCCTCCCTTAGAAACCACATGCAGAGTCCCTATGAGTCAGAACCACCGACTTAATGGCACTTAACAACAACAACACATAACAGCACAGTACTTCTGGAACGGGGAATGTAAAATATGTTGGGAACATAGCTGTGAAAAAAACTGAAAAGATGGAACTACATCATGGCTAAAGGGTGCTACTACACTGAGTATCTCTGAGACAATGGTATACCAGGTTTAGAAAAAATTAAAGTGCATTTCTATTGCTGCTTTATAGCATTTTTTTTCTATAAAGAATTCTCAGATAAATTATCTCATTTGATACTGACACCAACCCTGCCAAGTAAGCCAGGTGGAACCATCAACCTCCTTTCACAGATAGAAAAAAAAATAAAAATTAAGAGTTTAAATGACTTAATCAAGGTCAAATCAGGAATAAATTTGGGTTTGTTGTTGTTGTTATGTGCCATGGAGTTGGTTCCGACTCATAGCGACCCTGTACAGGGTTTCCGAGGCTGTAAATCTTTGCGGGAGCAGAAAGCCTAATCTTTCTCCTGTGGAACAGATGGTAGTTTCGACTTGTTGAACTTGCAGTTCGCAGCCTGATTTGTAACAATTACGCTACCAGAGCTCCTTAAATTTGGGCTTAGATCCATATATTTTTTTAAACTCAGTCTACAGCTCTTTCTGTTATACTATATTATTAAGTCTGAGAGTGTAACAATATGAAGACACAAAAAGCCTAACATATTTATAATATCACTGAGGTTCTAACCCACCGCCATTCACTGGAAACTTTATCTGTAGAGGGTTGCTATGAGTCAGAACTTAACAATATAAGACTGACATTAGAGAAACAACTGTAAGAAAGGTCTTCTGGTTGTTGTTAAGGGCCTCCAAGTCAATTCTGACCTATAGGTGAGCTTGAACCACCAACCGTGCAGTTCAACAGGCTTTGCAGTCTGGCGCATTAACTCACAGCACCAAAACAGGGTCCACAAGAAAGGTCTAAAAAGATGTTTTAAGACCTAATCCCTTAAAATATTCATGTTTATAGCTGATAAACAAGACCAGGGCTTCCAATGAGCACATTCCAGTATGGTCACCTGCTGAGAATTTGCATTCCACCCCAGATATACTAATTAGAATTTACATTTTAACAAAATCATTTATGAAAAGGATCTTGTTAAATGCTTGGCTGTCTTCTGAATTTTGGTTTCCCTGGCATACCATTATAAAATAGACACTTGAGGGGGAGTGAAAGGAATAGCCAGAAATATCACCACAGAAAGCTTGTAAATCCATCTTCTGCCTATAACTGATTGTTGTTGTTGTTGTTATGTGCTGTGGAGTCAGTTCTGACTCATAGCGACCCTGTACAGTGTTTCCAAGGCTGTAAATCTTTAGGGGAGCAAAAAGTCTCATCTTTCTCCTGCAGAACAGCTGGTAGTTTCGAACTTCTGTCCCTGAGGTTAGCAGCCCGATTCGTAACTACCAGGCTACCATAACTGATTGGAGTACCTAAAATGAGGCTACAAAGTGCCCAGTGAAGGAGGCTTCCTGTGGAGCCTTTGCATTACATAAGACTATAGGTGGAATCCTGAACCACATCCAGAATCTTCTGAGATGGGAAATTTCCACTTGAAAGGACAAGTAGACCAGCCTAGATCCACTAGAAGAACAGAAGATATTTCTTGAAAGAAAGCCTGACAGGAAAAATACAAAACAATATAGGCAGTCCAACTAATCAGTAGTAATCACTACAAGAACAAGCAAGTTGCTCACCCAAGAGACATCAAGCCAAGTGGTCGGATCCCCTAGGGCAAACCCCCTTCTAAGACTAAGACTCAATGGGAATATACGCTCCAATATGGGAACGTGAGGGAAGAACAGCAATGAAGCTGCGAGCCAAGCCCTACAACGTTCAGCAGACTCCTGTGAACCCGGTGGAGACCTGGTTGGCCAGCAGTGTGGCAAGACTTGGGGACTCCTGGGCCCAGAGTCAGTGTCATACCCACATAGGACTAGAATGGCTAGTGAAGCATTCAGCTGATTAGAAGAGAGGGCATATGCATAAGAACACCCTCACTTGAAGATAATACCCACTTGACCTGGCTTCAATGGCTGGATGATCAGAATTCAACTAGAAGAAGAAAGAGGAAAAAAAGAGTAATCTGACACAATTTGATGAACTTGACCTACACCTATGGATGCAATAGCTCAAAAGAGTGAACAAATCTTATAGCGAGGATCATTCCCACCCTCTCCATACACAGAGTAGACAGGGATGGGCAACTTGGACATTGGCTACCCAAAATGGGGGTGCTACAAAGGCAAGAAGTGACTGGCTTACAAGCTTTCAAGAGGAAGCCTAGATCCAGAGGGTGCAGAGGAAAGTAGAATCTCCACTTAGTATTCAATCTGTCCAGGTGGGGCTGATGAAAGGAGATGAGGCAAGGTCTCATGTGATACAATAGTGAAAAATTGTTATCAGGACTGATTGTGAGGGTTGGAAATGTAGACGTAGACGTTTTGTAGCAAGGAGGGGAGTAATTAACTTTGCAGTCTAGGAGCAGAGGTCCCTGGGACCATCAAGGGAGAACATCAGAGAGCGGGACCCTACCCAGAGAAGCAGTGACGCCAGAGATGCAGGCAGAGATGCAGGCAGAGACGATGATGTGGAGAGATGGAGCAGCTGGGAACTTTAGACCCAGAGAGGGAGAGCGGCTGTGTGCTCACGACCAGGGGGCAGGCCTTGATTGTAACCATGGCAATGAAACGATATACCATAGTATGAATGTGAAGCTAATGTTCTCCCATGTATCACATAAGTCACAATAAAACATAAAAAAAAAAAAAAGGGATCTTGTTAAAATGTAAACTAAGTATACCTAGGGTGGAATGCAAATCCTCAGCAGGAGGTTGAACCAAGAAGAACTGGCTCAAAGCCCTGGACAAGACATACCTATGAAAAATTAACAAAAACAATACTTGGGAACTAGTTTCCACATTTCCTAAGTAGATGAGACACAATGGCTTTGAGCAGATTTTATACATTAGTGTCAAAGAACATGTCAAAAAAGTTAAGTGACTAACACAGGGCTTCTAAAACATTGCTATCTGACAACAGTAGCAATTCAGTGACACCTTATTTGTATAGGCCTTGTTTTCCTTAAGTTACAAAGGAACTTGCAGAGTATATTTTCTTACCTGGCCCAGCGCATGATTCTGGAAGAGACAGCCAGTGTATGCCACTTCCAAAGAATCTCCAACTTCTACAGCAGGCCCCTCTGCTACAATGAGATCTTGGGAAAGCACTGCATCCAAGGAAGAGGTGCTGTTGCATTTGGCAATGCACACCTACAAGATGAAACCAAGGTGGCATAACCTTAAGTTTATGCTCAATAAGTACTCACATCATTATTAATGCTCTTTCCCAAACAGTTGCAGTTGCAACTGTTTGGGAAAGAGCATTAACAAATGTAATAAAACATTACATTTTATGAAGTAAGCTATTCCAAAGTTAGCAGTCTTGCCAGTAATCAAAGTGTCTAAGAGTATGGCTTTGGTGGGCCCAGCCACTTTCTAACTTTTGACCTTGGTCAGACGTTTAACCTCTATGTATTCAAGAGTGCTGTTTTTGTTAAGTGTTGTTGAGCTGGTTCCCACCCATAGCAACCCTGTTTAGGGTTTCCAAGGAGCAGCTGGTGAGCCTGAACCACCAACCTTGTGGTTCAAACTGACTTTGCAGTCCAGCGCATTAACCCACAGTGCCACACCAGGACATCCAAGATTAGACATTTGCAAACAGAGATAAAAGCCATATGATTCTCATAGAGTGGTTCTGAAGATTAAATGAGCAAATACAAGTATAGCAAATGGCACAGTACCTGGCAAATAATAGTATCACTCAATAAATGTTAGCTATCTTTATTACTATGATTTACTACTTCAGTGTTTGAAAACCTCTGAAAGAAAAGGGCGCTTCTAAAAAACTTTCAAAAGTCATGGAAAGAACGCCCTTTACAAAGTACCATGTTGCATTCCCAGATTTCACATATTGACACCTATTGATATAGCCATTATTTTAGTATCAAGCATAAACAAAGCAGTCAGACACATTTTCGTGAATAATTCATATTGTCAATGTTTTATTTTAGTATATTACAAATTTACCAATCATTTTCTTTAAAAAAGATTCACTATTGCTATCAAGTAAAATACTCACTATTTTATACCAAGCAAATAGGACTACAAGAAAAAAACAAAAGATAATTCTCAATGCTAGGAAAGATAGGGTGAGACAAACGATATGAGTGTGATATAGCGCAACCTTTGTGAAAAACAGTATGTCAGAGTGTACTCAGAATCTAAAAATATCTGAATTTACTGAAACATCACTCACTTCTAAAAATCTAGCATAGGAAATAACCAGAGGGGGAAAGCATACAGACTTCTATACAGAGATGCTGACTACAGTGTCATCTATCTCAGGGGAAACTGGTAATAAGAGTATTTTAAAACAATACCTTTAGAAGATAAGATTACTTAGTCCTTAAAATAGTTTGTTGTTGTTGTTGTTAAGTGCCTTAGAGTCAGTTCTGACTCATAGTGACCCTGTAGAGGGTTTCCAAAGAGCAGCTGGTGACTTTGAAACACCAACCTTGTACTTTACGTGGTAGGAAAAAATGTTTTAATTAAATAAGTTTACATTTAGTCTTTTTGTCTTTCAAAAGTCTCATTTTTAATAAGCATGCCTATTACTGCCCTAAAATGAAATAGGCTCAAGTAACAAATTTAATGAATATTTATGCTTTCTACTAACAAAAAGAAACAGGTTTATGTGGTGGAAAAAAGGTTTTAATCTTGTAAGTCTACATTTAGTCTTTTTTTCTTTCAAAAGTCTCATTTTTAAATAAGTATCCTAAAGACGACAAAGATGAGAAAACTGTCATCAATTTAGGATGATAGCTACACACAATCTGACTAATATAACTGATATCACTTAAGTTGTATTCCAAAAAGGTAAATTAGAAAAGTGATTACATATAATTTTACAATGCAGCAACCATACATAAAAAAGAATATGCAGTTGCTGAAGCTACTTAGGTATAAACAAACACCAACTAATGGGATTAGTTATCTTGATTCAAAGGCTTAGGGGTCATGTCTTCATGGAATTATCCAGACTATTTGCCTAGTACTGCTTTAGGAGTTTCTGTTCTACCCACCAATTCAGGGAGTAGTGCCTAGGGTCTTAAAGGCTTTCAAGCGTCCATCCAACATAGGATTGGTTTCTTTTCCCATTGTACTCTTTTATCTATATCAGATAAAACTGACCTCAGTAACTTAAAGCACAAATGAGTAGTTTATGGGGCGATGAGTCTAAGTCAATGTTGAAATAATTTAGAAACAATATGGGGAGAGATAGGAAGAATGATAACACAACATGAAGAATATAAGCAGTATCACTGTTTATATTCTACACTTTGAAATATACATTAAATTGCTGAAGGGGGGTATGATCTGCTGTGTACATTTTTCACACAAAAAATTTATATATATATATGTATGTATATGTTGTTTGTTAAGTACTGTGGAGTCGGTTCTGACTCATAGTGACCCTGCACAGGGTTTCTGAGGCTGCAAATCTTTATGGGAGCAGAAAGCCTCATCTTTCTCCCACGAAACAACTGGTAGTTTCGAACTGCTGACCTACAGGTTAGCAGCCTGATTCATAACCACTACGCTACCAGAGTGCCATATGTGTGTATGTATACATTTATCAGATTATGTGTTTTCCGTGTATTTTCCTAAAATTTGGGAACTCCAGACATGTGTTCTGGCTTTTCACAGAAGAAATAGACATTACCTGTTTGTTGAACTCCACAGCAGCCTTTTCTGATTCAAACATGATGGACCAATTTTGTCTTTGGTCATCATAAAAAGTGCTATAGTTATTGGGCCGCACCTGGGAAAAGGAGCAATGTTGGCGTAAGTGAACCACAAGATGTGAAATGGGTAAATCTGACTACTTAACCTCATGGAGAAGTATCTAGACTAAAATGGACTCAAAGATAATAGGAACTCTCTCCTTCCCTCCCACCTTTCACCAACCATCCTTCAGATCATATTCTTAGAAGGTAACCAAGAGACCTTTTTAGCATTATCCATACTAATGCCCAGGATACTGCAGAATGTTGCAGACCGTGTAAGACTAATCAGAGGTTCGAGGCCCGCTAGGGCCGAGGGTAACAAATGAGGCCACTGGCAGTTAATGGCAAATTGCTTTCATATTAATATTCAGGTATATATATTAAATTAATACACTGGAGCCTTTGGCAATCCACAGATAAATGGGGTATTTTCCTAAAGCCCAGACTGAAGGTTGTAAGGTTAAGCATTTCTCCAAAGGATTAACTAAAAATGTCTTAGCTACTTCACAGCTCTTTGTTCCATAGACAAAGAACCCATCCTCCCTAATCCTTTTCCAGGTGCAGCCCATTCACCTGGGCGTCTGGAGTCCTCCTGCAGACCTGGCTCAGGAAGCCAAAGCAGCAGGACTCCACCCAAGCTTTTGTCTTTAACTCTCACCTTCCCCCAACTATGCTCAGGGGCTATAGATATGTTAATTGGGCCTGAGAATCCAAGTTGCTGGCCTGGGATTCGAACCAGTGAAGTATAATGTAAAGTTACCTGAATGTCTGGAAAAGTACTGATGTTAGCTGTACCTTGCCTAAGTCCCTCCCAGCTTGGTGTGAAACTCCTCCCCTGAATAAAGCAGAGACCCGGGCCTCCCCAGGTGGCATTACTGGTTGGCATTACTGGTTGGCATTGCTGGATGGCAGGCATGGAGTAAAGATTGCGGAGCATTACGGGTTGGAAGGCATGCAGTAAAGATTGCAGGGCAGTGAGTTGCTGCCTGCAGAGGCCACGATGCCTGTAGTCCCAAGGTTGCCTATCAGTGATGTATCCACCCTGGCTTTGGGGTGCCTCTTTGTCTCTCTCTTTGTCTCCTTTGTCTCTTTCTGTGTATTCTTGAGTCGCCGTCAGGTATCCTCCCCTCGTGAACTGAACCCCAATGTCGAGGCAGGTCCCCGACAGCAGAAGATCTCATTTTTACCGAGAATATTCATATTCATCTCTCCTGTAAAGCTATTCCAAAGGAATTAATGATGCCAATCTGGGGATGTCTTACCATGAGCTCAAAGTTCTGGTGAATTCTGGCAACAGTAACTGGCTGCTGCTGACTAATATAAAGAAGAATCCTATACTGTACTCAAGCAAAGACAGAGCAGGAAAAAAAAAAAAAAAAAAGGACAGAAGTTAAAAAGGTAATACAACATTAGCACCACCAAGAATCATACTATAAAAGCTATAAAATCTGAAATTCAGTTCATCCCTTAAGGCTTAGTTTTTAAATATCTTCTTATCATGCATTTTAAGTTCTCTTATCAGTTTGGCCTTATTCCTTAGTTGTAACTGTTGTTGTTAAGTGCTATTGAGTTAGTTCCGACTTCTAGCGACCCTGTATAGGGTTTCCAAAGAGCGGTCAGTGGGTTTGAATCACCGACCTTGAGGTTCACACAGACTTTGTGGTCTAGTGTTTATCCTACAGTGTCACACTAGGACTCCAAGTTGTAATTAGGGATATCTAGGGATATCTTTATTTTGTTGATTTTTCATTTAAATGAAAGGTGACTAAAGTAACACATTGCTTAAAAAATAAAAAATAAAAATTAATTTAGGAAAACTAAATAGTAAAGTTCACATATCTTAAAATCAAATTTTATATATACACATACATACAACCACATAACCATCACTCTGCTCAAAAACACTTGAACATTCCCAAAACTTTAGAAGGTTTCCTTATGCTCCTTTCTAGCCAATAACCCTTGTTCTGAAGTAGCCACTGTCCTGACTTCATCAGGATTACTTTTGTTATTTTTAATCTATATATAATGGGATCATGTAATAGACTCTTGGGTCTTCCTTCTTTTATACAACATGTCTGTGAGACTTACCTTCATTTCATGTACCAGTAATTTATCCTTTTTTATTGCTATGTAGTTACCTATGACTACACCACAGGCTATGACTCCAGCCTCTTGTTTACTAATATCTGAACTTTTTTCACTTAGAATCTTTTATCTACTCACAGTGTTCTTATAAATATTCTATGTATCCTTTAAATAACATAGGCAGTCATTTCTTCCTTCAACTTAAAGATCTTCACTTAATATTTTTTGTACAGTGCATCTGTTGGCAATGAATTTTCTCAGCTCTTATTGATCTGAAAATTCATTTCACTTTCTTTTTGCAGGGATTTTCTGCTAGGTATAGAATTCTATGTTGCCATTTTTGTCTTTCAGCATTTTAAAGGTGTCATTCTATGATCTCTGGATTACAATTACCTGTATATTACATGTGTATTAGACCATTTTGAACTGTTTCCTATATGAATCTTAAGTTCTGCTCTTTTTCTATTCAAGTTCTATTCTTTTTTAGTCTTACTGTTCTTTTGCTATTCTTCCTTCTCTCTGAGATTCAGTTTGGATATTTTCTCTACTGAACTGCCTCCTCAGTCACTAGGCCTACCTTCTGCTGTGTCCGTTGTTGTGTTGTTGTTATATGCCGTGGAGTCGGTTCTGACTCATAGCAACCTTGTACAGGGTTTCCGAGGCTGTAAATCTTTACGGGAGCAGAAAGCCTCATCTTTCTCCCACGGAACAGCTGGGAGTTTCGAACTGCTGATGTTGCGGTTCGCAGCCAGATTCGTAACTACTACACTACCAAAGCTCCTTTCTGCTGTGTCTAGAACTTGGTAAACACATTCAATGGATTTTTAATTCCAGATATTGTCTGTCTTTCTCAAGTCTAGAATGTCATTTGAGTATTTTTATGGATTACGATTTTTTAAATTTGCCATTTCTTTATCCCATTGCCTTTCCCTCTATTTAAAGATACAATTCATAGTTACTTAAAATACTGTACAGGTTAATTTCAACATCTAGATTATTTGTGTGCCTGCTCTTATTAGGTTTTTTGTTTGTTTTTGTCCTCATTCATCAGTAACATTTCCCCTCCCATTTACATATCAAGTAATTGTTCATTATAGTTCTGCCATTGTATATGAAAACTGTGGAAGCTCCCATCAGACCTACTGCCAGAGGGGATTCCGTTTTTCCTATGTAAGAGGATGAGGAGCTTATTATCATTTTCAGCCAATTACAGAGTGAGCTTGTCAGAGGCAGATGGTAAATTTATTAAGGGCCAGTACATCTCTGGGTACAGTCCTGGTGTGGCGCTGCTGGTTAATGTGCTGGACTGCAGGGTCGGTTTGAAACGCAAGGTCGGCGGTTCAGGCTCATCAGCTGTTCCTTGGAAACCCTATAAAGGGTCACTATAAGTCAGAACTGACTCGAAGGCACTTAATAACACCATCACCTCTGGGTAGTCTCTGATCTCAAGCATGATCTTCCCAGGCTTATGACTGAGAGCCTGTAAAGTGTCTGACTCCTTAGTCCTAGAAGTTTTGTCCTTCAGAGATTTTTGGGCTGAGTTTTTTTGCCTCTGCCATGAAGGTTCAAAATCTGGCAAAAGTATTGAGAGGAACACTGGTTTCATGCTTACTGAAGGCCTCCAATCTATATGTAACTACTGCCATCGAGTCGATTCCAACTCAGAGTGACCCCACAGAACAGAGTAGAACTACTTCATAAGGTTTCTGAGTCTAGAAATCTTTATGGGAGCAGACAGCCTCAATCTTTCTCCTCTGGAGCAGCTGGTGGGTTCAAATAGCCCAACCTTTAACCCACTATGCCACCAGGACTCCTGTTCCTCTCTGTTGTTAAGTGCTGTCGACAGTGTTTCCAAGAACAGCTAGTGGGTTTGAACCGCCAACCTTGTGATAAGCAGTCCACTCCACACCAGGAGTCCTCTCCTGTTTATTGCTGGTGTTGTTCAAGTGCTGTTGAGTCAGTTCCGACTCATAGCGAGTTTGTATAGGATTGCCAAGGAGCGGTTGGTGGGTTTGAACTGCCAACCTTGTGGCTCAAACTGACCTGTGGTCCAGCGCATTATCCTGCAGCACCACAGGACGCCTTATCTCCTACACACCATAAAACTGAGGAAGTTTCACTGGAATTTCACGGTACAGACCTGAACTTCTAGCTTCTCAGAACACAGCAAATGTCTCATGGAGAAAAGCTAACCTTTTGTTTGAAGCTCTTCTAAATTTTCCTAATTTCTCTTTTCTCCTTTCTGCTTGGGACATGTGTGATGTTTAGGCTATGCCCCAAATTGGCAAATGCTGCCAGGGGATAAAACAGTCAGCTCACTGGCTCTTCCTTCCCCCTATGAAATTTTAATTCATCACTTCCACAACTCTCTCTGATAAATTTTAACATATAAATTTTACAATTTATCATTTTTTTCTTATAATTGTTAGAGCACAAATGTTGCCTGTTGTGACCTAATGCAATCCTGGAAGTGAAGTACCAAGACCAGATTTTAAAAATCTAAAAAGCAATGATCTAATGAAGTAATAGATCTAAGTAATGATATCAATAATATATATTATATTCCTTCTGACTGCCATATGAAAGAGACTTAACAAGCACAGAAACCAACTGCATATATATATGAAAATCAAGGAAATTTGTACTTTCAATGGACAAATAAGGAATTCTTCATTCTTTTTAGGTGTGATAATGGCATAATGGTAATAATTTTTTAAGTTCTTATCTTTTAGAAATACATACTAAACTATTTACAGCTAAAATTATATTCTAGAGATTTGTTCAAAATAATCTGAGTCAGGAAGGAGGAAGAAGGTGGGTTGATAAACAAGATTAATAACTGTTGTTGTTGTTAAGTACCATGGAGTCGGTTCCTACTCATAGTGACCCTGCACAGGGTTTCCATGGCTGTACATCTTTACAGGAGCAGAACGCCTCATCTTTCTCCCACGGAACCACTGGTAGTTTCAAACTGCTGAACTTGAGGTTAGCAGCCTGATTCATAACCACTACGCTACCAGGATAACAGGGGCCTATTAATGGGGTTCACTGGAGTCCTGGTATGGCGCTGTGGGATAAAGCACTGGATCGCAAGGTTGGTTTGAACCACTAAGTCGGTGGTTCAAACTCACCAGCTGCTCCTTGGAAACCCTGTACAGGGTCACTGTGAGTCAGAACCAACTTGATGTCACTTAACAACAACAGAGGTTCATTATTCTAGTTGCACTTTTTTAATGTGTATTTGAAATTTTCCAGAATTAAGTTTTCTGGTTGATGGTGGTTGCTTTTTTGTTTAGTTAGTTTGTTTGTTTTGTTTCAAACGCAAATCGTGCTGTTCATTTTATCAGTTTCCCTGAACAGGTTATCTTATCTCTCTGTGTGCCTCCAGGTTTATGAGGAGGATAGGGCCTATGCTCTTTGGACATTTCAAGCTCTTAAATTCTATTATTTCTTATACTTCTTTCAACAATGTTCAAAGTGTTCTGGAACAAAACTTAAAAATAGACACAAATCACATAATGAAATCAGTATCAGGCCTTTCAGCTTCATCTTCTTTTTGACTCAAATTAATGTTATACTATGCAATCAACTACCCGTATTATCAAAATGGATTCAAAGAATAAACCCTGATTAATGTAGACATAACACTGTGCAATACAGGAAGTGCTGTTCACTAAGAAATCACAGTGGTTCTAGAGGATAAGCTCTAGATCATGAACCACAAGGTCAGTGGCTTAAGTCCACCTGTCACCCCAAGGGAGAATGATGAGGATTTCTGTTCCTCCAAAGGAGCTCTGGTAGCGTAGTGGTTACGAATCGGGCTGCGAACCTTAAGGTCAGCAGTTCGAAACTACCAGCTGCTCCGCGGGAGAAAGATGAGGCTTTCTACTCCCGTAAGGATTTACACCCTCGGAAACCCTGTACAGGGTCGCTATGGGTCAGAACCGACTCGAAGGCACTTAACAACAACAACAACAAAGATTTATAGCATTGGATACCGTATACAGGGTCGCTAAGAGTCGAAACTGACTCAATAGCACTTAACAACTAAATAACGTCTTTAGTAAAAATAGTTTACTCTCAAATTCTCCTCATTCTTAAGCTAAATAAATATATATCATAAAGATCAAATTTAAAGATTTTGAGTGGTTGGATTTATTTACATGTATAATAGTAAGCAAAAAGTGATCATTTACTCTATAGCCTATTCTTATAAAGGCATATTTATTACACTTACTCTAATCCTCTGATATACACAGGACACTGGGCAGACCCAGATAAGTGTCAACTCATTAGTATGATCTAGCACATCTGAAAATACATGAGACATGGGGGTATTCTCACCTCTTTGGCTGTGTGATTACCCAGGACCGCTGCACCAAATTTGCCTTGCTTCACATATTGACCATTTATGCTGTGGAGTCAAGAAAAGCAACAGGTATTAATACTTTCTAAAACTTTGAAGTATCAGCTTTCTTTTCTGCCTTACAGTGTCTCTAGAAAGGAATAGAAGTGAGCAGTTTATAATTTAAATTTCTTTACTCTTTAAGTATCTACCATGCATGGTATCTCAATGGAAGCGTTGAGCATTTGTAAACACTTATAAAGGCAGTTATTGAGAGTACTTAAAGTTTTAAGTACAGGAAACTTCAATTGAAATGTTAAAATGCATTACAGAAGCTTTATTTACATAAGAGCTGAGTAACCATTTTGGAGTCAAGAGAGGCTTACTGAGAAAAGATACTAGCTTAAAACCTGTCTTCCGAAGACATTCTTTCTCAGCTACTTACTATCTGTATGCATGGACTGCTGTTGCAACCAGTACTGTGGAAGTGCCTGTTGTAGCTGGTACTGTTTTCTGTGTTGCCTGATTTCCTGAAGATGAAGAAGAAAACAAAGTTGCCATTCATTTACTGCTTGAAACTGATCTTTAACCATTAGACCAGCTTCAAAATTCTTCTTTACCCCTTTGTGATGCCATGCTTTCATGACTCTCATTTGATCCAGAAAACAGTCCTATGACCCAGTCTGAGGAAGTGGAAACTAAAACTCTAAGCATCCAAGCGCCTTACATGATGATGGTAGTAAGTCTAGGACTAGAACCCATGGCTCCAACTCCCAAACCACATATTCCAAAGAAAAGATTCTCTGACCTTGTCTAGAAAGTAAGGTCATAGTCCATCTACTTTCTTTCTGCTTCTAATACATGAAAACAAGGTCCTTTCACTTTCCTTAATTCCAGGATAGGAAATTTAAGATCTGATACTAAACTCAAACCAAATACTTAAGGTTACTAAATGCTGTTGTTGTTGTTGTCAGGTGCCATCGAGTCGGAACCGACTCATAGCGACTCCATGCACAGCAGAACGAAACAATGTTCGATCCTGGGCCA